CGATAAGCTCGTGAATCTGAAGACCAAAGGTGAGCTCCAAGGATTTGCAAAGTTCTTGCCTTACAAAAACCAACCTTACTCAATAGATCGATATACCGACCAACCACCCTTGCACCTGCTTTCGCCCTGTACCCGCCCAAGCCACATGTTTAAGGATCGCTAACGAAGTTGACAAGCTGATCGAAAACGCAACCTACACGTCCCTTGGCGATCAGCAACCTAGGGCTGACTCTCAATGCCCATAGTTTTTTTTAAGGGTGTGCCTTTACAGTACAGCTGTGCTGCACTCACAAGGTGTTCCATATTGCAAGTGCCCAGGTGTTCTGCGGGATTAGCGTTGGAAGTGAAAGTCAGGCCCACTCGTTGCTTTGAGCTCCACACCCTTTCGATCTGCCCAGTGTCCATTCTCCTGCGACAGGGCCGCAAAGGTTTCTTGGACTAAGAAGGTGACTCAGAAGCCGAAGCGCAAGCTTGACAATAAGGGAGAGGGAACTGCAGCAACTGCCGAGGCATATCATTAGGGTGGGTGGCGGTTTGTCACCCATGCATACATTGCGATGGAACCCAAATGGTTTTGCCTATGGCCTGTGTTCTAGGATATCTTTTTGACCATCTCTGCAGGAGGCCTCTGGGAAATTGAGGAGGAAGAAAGTCAAGACGAGCTGAAGTGAGCGGAGAATGGTCAATGATGGGGTGATGTGTCCATCACATGTGAAGCACGTGTGTCTGACACAATTCCGGGTTTTGCTAATTGTAGGCCATCCCTGCACAACAAGAGCAGGGCTAGGGCTTTACAGTTAAGATGTGTTTGAACTAATTTTGGATTGGGCCCAATGCAACGTGAACAAACACTAAAGTAAAGCACGTGTCATGTGTCATGTCATGTGTCAAGCCTAGTAGACCGTGCCTTTTTGAGGGAAGCTCTTGGGCCGATCTATTTGCTGTGTGACCTGCACACATCACCTGGGAAATATGTGAAAAAGATTAAAAAGATGAAGAAGGGGATGGGGTCAAAGCCAACACAGTTCATCATGGATTGTCTGGGCACATGCGCTGGCCAGGTCCTGGTCGGACATTGAAGCAACTGGCCCGGAACATCGCCGACGGCGCTGGGACCTCAGAGCGGTGAATCGCTCTGCTGCTGTTGGGGCTACTAATACCTTCAAGCTGCAGCAGGGTGGCTCGTACAAACATCGACTGTAGCACAGCAAGGTTGACTGTAGCCCCCAAATCTTTACCTCAGTTGTCTAGCTACGTGATAATCTCAACAGAATTTGTTCTACAGTTTACTCTCATCCTTTGTCCTATCATCCCAGCCATGGCCCTTCCTGATTCCGATGAAGAATGGCTGAGAGAGCTCATGGACAGCAACCACGACTCCAAAAGCAACGTGGGTGTGACTAGACCTAGTTTATTTGCTTGACCATTGTTTGACGACCATGTCTTCCCAAGCCACACCTGAACTGAGTCTCCGCGGCTTGTTGGAGGCAGCCCTGCTGGCCTCAGCCCACAATGGGAAGACTTTGTGTCAGAACAATTGAGGAGCTTGCCACGGTTAGCTGAATGCTTGCAAAGCATGGAGAGTCAAGAGAGCATAGTTTGCCGGTTTCCAAACAAGAAGTGTACTGCTGGTGCTGCGCTGAAACATGTTACTCAGCAAGTTTCCTCGCTCTTGAGGAAGGAGTACCCATGTGTCTTTAAGATAGGTTATACTCACGACTTGACTTGGAGATGGGGAAACAATATCTATGGCTACAAAAATGACAGGGACAAGTACGAGACTATGGTTGGTCTCTATATATCAGAGCATGCAATTGGAGCTGCTCTCATGGAAGCCTTTTTGATCAACCATCATCAGGGTTTCTCTGCTATATAGTTGAGATACGTCTGTGAAATCTTCAATGATTGAGGGGCTTGGATTTCCTTCTAGCGTCTTCTGAGGTTCACCTGGATGCCGAAATGTCCGTAGCGGCGGCGATTCAGTGTGTTCGGCGAAAACTGATGGCCCGTTTTTTACTTACCTCGTGTACAGACCGCTGAAGAATCCGCCCCCAGTGAGCAGCGCTTGACACTCCCTTTGCGGTTTCCATCAGTCTGCCCAACCAATAAAATAAAGGCAAATTTGTTTTGGCACTCTGCTCACGTCTCCTTCCAAGGTTCCAGCGATGCTGATGTAGAAGTGCTTGTCAAACCATCGCTTCCACCTCACCCCCACAGACAGGAACCTCCATGAAAGGTGTGCATGTGTGTGACAACATGTCTTGTGTTGAGTAAGGAAGCTCAAGGTTGCCTCAAGCACATCTTTTTTAGGGGTAACGCTGCATGAACGCAGCTGGGGTATGAAAGGTGGATGAGTATGATCAACACTTGTCCGCGCTTTCCTGTCAAAATGACAACAGGTGCAGGTGTCACATCCACAATTTACTTTGTTGAGAAAAAGTCGCCTGACAATGAGTGCTCGTGAGATCCGTTGGGTTGTACATGTGCGCGCATGGCACACTATCTTCTCATCTTGTGTTTTTGTGTGTGTGGTCAAGCCACACTATCCTCTCATCTTGTGTTTTTTGTGTGCCGCCGAGGCCTCATGCTTGAGCACCATTCGAACGGCAAAGGCTGTGGCGGGCGAGGCTGGTGTGGCCGTGTCTAGAGGCCTCCATCAGTTAGCGGAGAGAGCGGAGCGGAAATCGGAAACTGGAGTCCACAAGATCTTTGCTGATTTTGGATTAGCACTAGATGTGCCCATCACCAAAGCCTGTGCAAACTACGATGTAGATTGCATTCTGCTTACTGATTGGGTTCGGGTACTTCTGAAACTTTGGCTTTGACGAGTAGTTGCCTGTACTTTTTTTGCTTTGTTTGGTGCACGAGCCACAAAAGGCCAAGGGACCGCCGGGATCGTGTCGGCTCGTGCAAGGAAGACTGGCAACTGGCCTCGTTTTGCTGGAGCAGAGACTTATGTGGAGGCTGAAGGTGAGCTGCAATTGTTTTGGGATCGCTTCCGCTCAAGCTTTGGGGACCACGGTGTGTTCCAAGCTGACGTAGAGCTGAAACGATGCTTGCCCTTACTTCTGCACGGGGACGAAGGTCGTGGAAAGAAGAGACAAGGAGTGTTGATCCTCGACGTTCATAGCATCCTTGGTGCAGGTGTCGCGACAAAGAGAAAAAGAAACCGCCAAAGAGAGGCCCGTGTTCAGTCCATGAACTACAAAGGCCATCCTTTGTGCACCCGACTTCTCCTTGGAATACTGCCCAAAGAGTTTTACGAGGCCGACAACGAGTGCTACTTTTCTTTGGTGGAGCGCCTGTGCGAAGACTTCAGCGAGATGATCACTGATGGCGTGCTGGGCGAAGATGGCAAGCGCTACACTGCTGCAGTTTTGTTTTGCAAAGGTGACCTCCCATTTCTTCACAAAGTGGGCAGACTGTGGAGGAGTTTCTACAACGCTCCGAAGAGAGAATCTTCTGCCAGGGACTGTACCGGCGTCTGTCATTTATGCGACGCAGGAGTTGCAGGGGTTCCCTATGAAGATCTGTCGATGGAGGGCGGGTGGACGCTCACTTTCGGAACGACTACCCCATGGACGACATATCCAGAATTGCTTCAACACTGTCATCACATCCGGAATTTTCCGGCAACATTCTTTGCATTTGACCCTTTTCACTGCTTTCATCTTGGCGAGGGCAGGAACCTGATCGCAAACTGCATGAAGATGATCTTGCCAATAGCTCCAGGTGGCAACATTGACGCGAAGCTTGACTCTTTATTTGCTGACTACAAGTCATATTGTCGAATGAACAAGTGTCAAGCCTACGCATCTCGTTTCAATGGCCAACTCTTTAGAATCGTTGGCAACGAATTTCCGACTGGCAGCTGGACGAAAGGTAACTTTACAACGTCCCTCGTGAAATGGATGGATCACTATCTGAACTCTAGGGTGAACTCGTTTCAACCTGACTCTTTGCTGGCCAAGGCTGCTGCAAGGATGAGCATTACCGTAACTTTTTGTTTGATTTGATTGCGTGTGTGTGTGTGTGTTTGTTAGGGTGATGTCTTCTTGCAGCTTGCGTGGTTGGTCCAAGGCCGAAGCGGTGAAGGTGATCAATGGAGTTTTTTTCAAAGCTGTTCCTTGCACCGCTGTGGATTCCGAGCGCAGAGGGTAGGCAACTAGCGTGTGAGTGGGAGCGCTACCTATGTTTGCAACAATCCCTCGCTGTACAGGCATCCTCAGAGGGTCAACTTTTGTTTCTGTGCAATTGCAAGAGCCATTACTTGGCACATATTGTCAAGGACATGCATTGGGCATGCGACACATCTCCATACATTCTCAACCCAATGGCCTTCGGAACTCAAATGGAAGAGGACACAGTGGGCCGCGTGTGCCGACTCGTCCGTCGTTGCTGTCCAAAAACAGCAATACGAAGAAGTTTTCAAAGATACTTAGTGAGTGTGCACGCTGCTTGGACAGCGGAAGGAATGCTTCTTGAGATTGACACCTGAGCTCCCGGCTGTTCAAAACAAGAACAATTGAGAGCCCGCCCGGAGCCAAGATTGCAACATGCAGGGTGGAATCAGGGGTTCCTTGATTTTTCAAGGTTTCGAGTTCAATGGGTAGTTATATAGATATATATAACAAATCTACTTCACCCCGCTCAAAACAACCCCTGCCCACTTCTGGCCAGCGTCTGTGGCGCAGGACAGCTCGCGTTGATGCGACAATGGGAAATCACATCCCGGCTGCCTTGGATGCGCGATGTCCTCAAACATAACCATCATTTGCCAACGGCAATACTGGTGACAGACCCTCATCACCATTCATGGTAATGATTGCGGAAGGGCTTGGGGAGTTCTTTCACTCCACCTCTTCCGGACTCATCTCTGAAGGGTTCCGTTCTCATCAGAGACGATTCTTTTCTCAATGAATTCCCGAATTCCCTTCGGTCCTCTCAAGGGTTTCGCCCCAATTAAACGACCCTTTGTTTTCAACACAACTCCGTTCTCATCATCTCTGACTCTTCACCACGCGGCTGCCGGCCACGTTCTCTGCGCGCACACGGAACTCGTAGTCCAAGTCGGGGATCAAGTCGTGGAACTCGTGCTCCGTGACCTCCGGCTTCAGTACAATGGTCTCCTCCGTCGCCTCAGTTGATGTCCATCAACCAACGAGTCGAGGCGGTAGCGTTGTTCGATGCCTTTCGTCGTCGATTTGTTTGGGCGTTCGTGAGAACGAAGGCCTTTTGGGAGAAAACGGGCGCTGGCCTTGCACAAGCATGCACAAGCATGTTGGCCCCCCTCAGACCGGCGGCGTGCGCCGGTGTGTCACAGTAAGGGGCCGTTCATCACAGGGTTTCGCTTCTTGGAATGGGGTTTGCCGGCATCACGGCGCTCACTTCAGGTTGATGGGCAAGAAAGGACATGGGCTTCAGCGGCTTCACTACATGGAAAAGTGATGAAAGCAGGCCGGAGTCGCTGAGGTCTTGATCAGCACCCTGACTTGGTCTGCCAGACTTTCTTTGGGCAGGTCCTCAGGCGCTGCAGCGTGTTGTTACTGCTTCTTGTTACTAGTAGCGATGGCCTCCACCTAGTAGCTTGATGTGCTACTAAGCAAGAAATCGGCTGCACTCAAATTCCAAAGGCCCGAGGGAGAAAGGCAACAAGCCTGCGAGAGCCTTTTCTTTCATGGCTGATGGCCAATCAGTGGGGCCTCATCCAGTGCACACTCTTCACTTGGCAATGGTTGACCCCCAAAATAAACAATATGCGCCATACACCACAAACGCCAACATACCAGGGCTTTCAAGGGCCTATTGTTGATCCGAATCCATTCCCATGCATGAAAGAAAACCTATGACACCTACGAAGCATCTCCCTTTGCACCCACACATGGGGTACAAACCTGCAGCTGATGTCAGCGCACGCAAACAGCTACAAAACCTCAAACATCTCGACACATCACGCGGCCAGTTTAGATCTTTTACGTTTTTCGTTTCTTGTCCATGGTTTTTCATTGCTTTTCAGCCTTCCTCTCCGCCAGGCATCGATCAAATCCAATGCGTTCCATCGCAAGGTCACATTCCGCCCCTCGCAGCGGAGCTGTAAGGACTCCAGGGGCGGCGGCGGAGTCTGGTTCCAAACCTGGAGCACCGACTTCGGCTTCGGGACGTGGCAGGTGTGGTGACTTCTGAGATTTTTGTTGGAATAATTGTTGGAAGGATCGCAACAGTCCAATGAACGGGTTTCTGGCAAGATTGGATTTGAATCATGTTGTCATATATAATATAAAAGTGTGTATATAAAGTAATTTAATTGAATTGGAAGCTCACTTCTTCACCCAACGGTGGTCTGTTCCCCCATCGAGCCCACAGCCTGTGGGATCCGCACAGCCGCCCAAATTCCAAGACCCTGGACTTGATGGATGGTCCCAACCCAAGTTCGGAGTCTGCTTTGGGGGTTCCCGCAGATCGATAGAAAGGGTAATTCATAAATATTCACAACGCAGTATATACATATGTATGTGTATGTACATGTGTATATATATATATACACGCCTAGATCTTGGCAACGTTGGATGAACTTCACATGTTGTATATTATATATGTCACTACAGCGAGCGTCTCGTCCAAACCCACATGAACCGTGCGCGAGCCGCCGTCTCTCGAACCAAGCCACTGTGAGCCTCACCGGCTCTCCGATGCACCCGATGATGCGTTGCTTCGAGGAGCAAAACAACCGCAACTCAAAGACCTCAGGTGGCGGCCTTCGGAACCGAAGGCCTGGCCGGGGCCTTTAGCGTTTTGGACGCTTGGTGAGTGAGACAGAAGCACTCCCCCCGTCAGAAAGAGATGGTGGCGATCAAGCCTGCAGGGGTAAAGTCATATCATTGCGCAGGGTTCTGAAGACTGTTCAAACATCACTGCGCAGCAATTTTCAGGGCTTCTTTCGTATGAGCTGGAGATAATATGATCCTTGATGATCACTGTAAATCCACGCACCAAGACATCATGTGAAATTAAATTTGGACGGGACGCAATCTAAACCCATAAGCTCCTGAAATACCTCTCATCCACTACGAGTTGGGTGGCTGAAGGGAGCTTATTTGGAGAAGTTGTAAGCCTTTCGACCAATCAATCAGCACACACACACATAATCACACACATATATATATATATACACACCAAATCAGTGCACAAGAGAGACCCCCTACAAACACTTGCTGAGGGGAAGTCTTTATCAAAACCCAGTGGTTGGAGGGTCTCTCTGCTCGTCTGTTCAATTGCGAAAAAAACGGTTTGTCGGTTTGTCACACTGTTAGTTTCGTCTCTCCCGAACTCCCAAACCCTGTTGAGCCAAGAGGTGCTCGAAAGGGAGCAAAGAGGTGCTCAAAAAGAGGGGAACACTTTCACTTTCACTGTTGATGCCTGGTGTTCAAAGAGGGGAACGCATTTAATAAATAAAAAACTTTCTTGAAGCAACTTCTCAGCTGGCTGAGCTCTTTGCTGCTTTCCCGGTGCCCCGGGTGGATCGCATGTACGAGGGCATCGACATCTCCACGTGGCCCAGCATCTGCGGTTGACCGTCTGAACACCTGGAAGTGTTTTGGCTGAAGTCCATGAGCGGAGCAGCAGTTTATGAGACCAAAAATTATGCACACGACTACCGTAGTACTAGCAAAATATACTGTAGCAACCTAAAGTAGCTATAGCAAAATTTATCTAGCCGCATGTATGGCGTATATATATATATATATATGAACCAGTGCTCTGCTCCATTCAAATTAATCAAAGACAAATTCAACAAATTTTGGCTCACCTGGGCAGATCCGCGCGTAGGTTGGGATCCACGTTGTTGAAGGCCTGGTGTCCCAAGTAGAAGCCACCGCCTCCGGCGGCGCAGTAGGTCAAGCCCGGCGGCACCAGCGCAATGAAGGGCGTGTCCCCGAGCACCTTCCGGGGCACCGGCCACGGCACCGGCTCACGCTCGTCCTTCAGGACCGTGTGGCCCGGGCCGTAATAACCTCAGGTTTGCGATGGTTCGAATCGGCTCAGTGGAGGGCGCAGGGCGGAGGGCGTGGTCCATGTTAAGTCTAGCTTATAGATATGGAATGATGTGGACTGTAGGTAGGTGCATGTAGGTTCTGGCCCAACCAACTCGGGACAGAGATGAACACCAAAGCAACCTGTCACAAGAACGATCAAGCTGTCACCCAAAGTTTCTGCCAAAAACCAACAACAGTAACTGACGTGACGATTAGATACTATTACCCTAGGGATCTAGTCGTACCTCCTCAAAAGGTACTTGGCCCCTGGCACCTCCCCAAACAGCTTCTCAGAGGGTACGACTGGATCCTTAGGGTTAGACTATTAGTCGCTCAGAATCCCGGAATCTCTGTCCTTAACACCACTCCCAAGCCACTGCAAGCGCCTTGAAGCCGATATCTCACCACACAGGTCTGCCCGGCAACCAGGCCTTGTCCAAGCTAAAGGACAACATTGACAACATCGAGCGACAGCAACAACAAGCACTGCCGCAACACGAACTGACGAAAAAACATCGACTCAAAACCATTCCAGCCTCACTGATTAAATTCCTCAGGTTTTGTGGGGGTGGATTCTTCTTTGCCAATTCTTTTCTCCACAACCTGTTCAACGCTCACGGCGAGGCACGGCAGGAGGCAGTGAAAATCACATCTCCAATGCTGGGGAACAAAGACTTGTGAACGCTGACCTCGGTGAACGCTCAGCGATGTGACTGGTCATAGCGATGCACGGAGCTTTTTCCCCAAACCTGAGATGATTTTATGTGGCTGATGGATGCTGATGGTGGAAACGCCACGCAACAACTCCGTGTGCCATTGGAACCACATGGTGGCCGCCCAAAACACGTCCAAAGGACCGTCATCAGCCAACTCTTGCCACTCTGAGGCTTCTCAGCCTTCACACTCTTTTTCACCAAATGGGAAAGCAGCATTCAGCAATCTTCAGCATGTCCTTGAGCTAAGGACAATTATCCCGGCAAGAGACCCCAAACAGTGTGTGTGTGTGTGTGAGGTCTGTAAGCAGAAAGTGTAGAGATCTAGACGCTGCTTTTCACCTACCGTAAGAACCCCTAGTGAGGCCCTAGTGTGTCCACACTGCTTGGGGAAAAAAAATTAACCTTTGAGCTGTTCACATGTTTCGAACATGTTTCGAAGGTGGGACTGGGGTGGGTGCCAGGACGGTGTACGACTGTACCTTTTGAGGCAACCGGATCCGGATCGAATGATCTCCACCCGACGGCCTCCACTCCCAAGGAGCCATCTGACCGCGGCGCAGCTCCCCACTGTGCACCGAGCGCCATTGGGCGATCTGATCCGCATAGGACCTCCACGCGCCGCCGGAGAAACCAACGGTGCATAGATAGACGGTGAGACGTCGTGGCGAAGCCAACGTCGGTGTGCAAGCAAAAAGGCAACAAACATGAATCTGAAGTTGCCGAAAAAAAATGTATCTCAACTGCATAAATGTATGGAGCAGTCGGCAGTCCTTACTTTACAGTTGGGTTGGCCAATATTTCTTCCAGTGTTTCTGTGAAGGATGGTGGGTTCAATAGATTTGTTGATCATGGGATTGCACTGGCAACCAAACAACTTCAAGTCATCATAACACATGCACTCTCTGGGAGCTCCGAAACAACAAAAGAATAAAACACATCATCTCAACGATAATCCCTCCATCTTAACGTCACATGCATGCCCTCCGTCAAAGTATTGCTGATTGGGAAGTGGCAATGGGGTGGCAATGGGATTCACCTGTTCCTGTACAGCACCCATGTTCCTGTATGCCATGCGGCTGATATCTTGCAAAGCAGTGCTCGCGGAACTTGGACGCGTATTGTCCACTCACACTACCTGCATGAAGCTTGATGTTAGTCTGTCTGAGACTGGGGAGATCATCTGGTCCAGTTGCCATGAGAAATGAAGCAATGGTCCCAAAGCCTTGAAACCCATGATTAAGCACAATCAGCTCTATACATGTGCGGAAAGGTCCTCAATTCTTGGTCGCTGGTTTCTGGAGTTCTTGGACTTGGCCGAGTGGCCCACCAGACTGGTGCCATAGGTATCCCACAGATAGCCAAAGCGTCTGGCCAATTCCGCCGGATCAGGGACGTCACCCTGCACGAAGGCCTTGGTCAGGGCTCTCGGCGGCGGCACGACTGGTATCCGAAGCACAGGCAGACTCATCTAAGAGCTGCCCCTATCAGGTTCAGGATCAAAAGCCTTAAAGCCAAAGGATTATAAAAGCCTTTCTATTAAACTAACCCCCAAAAGGATAGAATCCAACAAAACAATAACTAACACAAATCACAGTGATCACAGTCATCAGTGACCCTTGTTTTATCACCTGGCTCAGAAAAAGGCGGCTTTCCTTTGCTCTTTCCAAGCAAGAGAGCTAGCAGCAGCTAGCACACTTGATGCCCATTCCATCCCTCACAGGCCTCTGCTGGCAGGATGGCATCCCTCTGCCGGCTTCTCTCCACTGTCAACCTGCTATCGACCAGAGTGGCTCGGCGAGGTTGTAGGACTGGTAGGCTGACGTGGACTGATTGAAGTATTTCATTCACTGCCTCGACTGGAGGCTTTAAGTCGGGTCGAATGTGTTTCTTTAAGAGGCCTTAGCATCTGGCCTGGCACCCTGCTCCCTTCTGTAGATGTCACCAAGCGACATTCGACAGGCCAAAGCATCGTAGAGGGCTGGGGCAAAATGCACCTCCACGCCCCAAAGCACATCTAGTGGTGGTTGACGTAGCAATTGGGATAAGCTCTCTGTGCCTGATGCGATGGCAGGAAGGTGGCTACCTTGCCAAAGATGTGGACGAGGAAAATTTGCGGGTGGAATATGCACTTGTGGAAGAACAATGCGCCACAGTCCACTACCATGATTCTCAGAGAGGTATTGTAGTCATAGTCTAGCTTAGCTATACCATGCTATACTCTCCAAACAGTTAACAATCCGGTAGTAGAACATGGGTCCACCTCAAATGGAAGGACGCAAGTTTGTGCAACTGCACCTCTAATCTAGGAGCATCTGGCCGGCGTTTCTACCTATGGCATGAGAAATGACAATCTACTAAGCTATACATTTGGGGCTGTTTCAAGGTCGAGGTGCGTGTGCATACATGCATGCATACACGGTAATTATATGCATCCGTGCATAACTACCGTAAGTATTTTTATATATTTTCTGTCTCTCTCTCTCTCTCTCTCCGCTTGATGATGCTGGTCCGGCCACTGGCCCTGAGCAATCCATTGTTGGTCTGGCGACCAGGACGCTGACCAAGGCGCTAATTTCTTTGCCCTTTGAGCCGCCCAGCGCCCGGAAGAGCCGCGCCACATCCTCTGGGGGTGGCGAAATCTTCTCCACGGTGCCTGGGCCCAAAGTCCCGGTCGAAAGGGAACTCGCGGAAAACACGTTCTGTGGGTTAGGGCCGGTGAGGATCGCCTTGAATAGACCTGTTCGGCCAAAATAGCCGCTGTTTGAGCTCCCCAGATGTGGCCCATGCGCCGAGAGACACAAGTGCTCGAAGAAGGCTGCAGGGTTGGCCAAGTTGCCACTGATGGCGCTACGGCCAAGGCCATGCTTCAGCTCTAGTTGGCTGCCCTCAGAGGAGGTTGAACAAGCTCTCATCGTGGAGCAATTCTAAAAACACATGCGTCTTGAATCTCCATGGCATTGACACATGGTCCATGTGTCTGGTAAGTAGGGAGCAATCATCAGCCATTCATAGCCCAACTCCAACGACTTGCCGATGAACTCATGTTCTCAACACTGGGGGATCAGGCCCATGGCCCCCCTTGAGAACCCGAAGCCAAGGGACAAGTTCCAACAGACTCGGTCGAGGAGGAGAGATCAGGCCCAGCTGCCTTTGGCACTCCTGCCGGCCAAAGCGACCAAAGTGGCCACAATCCTTGACTCAAAATGACCAAACTGCTAAACTGCTTTGGACATAACTGGCCTTGAAACTGGCCTGCGCCCCTTGAAACTGGCTCTCCCTGAGATTCCGATGGAGTCTGTTAGTCCTGGAGATCCACTTTCCCATCACCATCTTCATCCAAGGCTGCCAGCACCTGAGGTGCACATCCCCCCCGGGATCGTCGTCGACCCAAAGCCACAGCTGTAACACACCGGGTTTGGTGCGGTCCTGTTCAAAGGTGGTGCATCACACGAGGGAGGTTCTGCCTGCCGCTTTGTCCCACAAAATCAAAAGGGAGTAAATGGGCATGCTTGGTGGGAAAACGTTTGGATGGGAGGCACCTCCTTGCTGCTTTTTCTCCGCTCGCGTGCTCTTGGACGTCCAAGCATCCAAACTTGGCATGTGAAGTTGTGTAAAAACCAACCCCTGGAGCACGAGAAACATCACTCAACTTGGTTCACCGTTGCCACTGCAAAGTAATCTATCTTGTGCAAAAAATTATGCAAACTATAACTGTAACAGGACATTCAAGGACTCTGGAAGCGTGTCCACAAAAAGCCGTGAGAACCAATGATTCGGACTGTTCATAGGATTTCTCTGGCTGTCCATGATGCAACGCACATAATAAAAATGAAACATATATATATATATATATATACGTGACGCCCGGATCAGGCCAGTTCCCTGCCAACCAGCAGGATGTGTAATGATAAGCCTCTTTCCAGAATGAATTGATTGGTTTTTGAATTGCTTATTAATTCAATCATTTCAATCATTGTAAAGCAATAATCAAGAGCTGTCATAATCCTAAGGTCTGAGGTTTATTATTGCGAGCAGTGTATTCTTATCATTATTGCTATAAATTACGACGAACAATTTGTTTCCAGCCAAGCTTTCACTTGGGGGGAGGGTTATTCGCTCAAGCGGAAAAAGCCCGCATTCGGCGTTGATACTGGGCACCAATAATATAAAGATATCAACCAGTCAAACATCCCTCCAACTATATATATATATATACACAGTATATAACCTCATCTCTTGGGCTACTAGGCGGCTAGATGCTACTAGTATGATGCAAACAGCAGCCAAAATGGGAACATCGCAAAGCCAAAAGGCACAGTGGACAAAACCGGGGGAGGAAAACACTTCAGCTGGAGCATCTGTAACCAACATCAATCCATCCCCTGCTTGGGGGAACCCCTCTTCTAAGACAGCCCATATCTCGCCATATCTTGCCCATACAGAGATCTTCAACCCGGCCTGTCTCCTTCACCTTTGTGCCAAGTCGCATCCTCCACGGAGATGTCCCGGAGCCCTGGGCCCCCCGCGAAAGAAGTGATAGATCCTCAGTGCTCCAATCTACGAAAGCATGTTCGGTCGACTACGGACCCTCACACCAATGGACCCATTTCATCATCGGGATCATTGGTCGAGACGTGTGGGCTTCCTTGAATGATTTCGGTGCTGGGATGGCAAAGAACACTCCTGAAATGGAGTCGGATACGCTTCAAGTGATGCCAAATGGTGCCACCCCTGGTTCCTTGCAATATCAAACAGGGGCTACAGAAATTGAACGGTTGCACTTCACTTGATCCGGGCAAATAGCATCAACTAGCATACAAAATGTTCAGTACGACCATTCAGTCCCAAAAACATACCACCACCACCACCACCACCACCACCACCACCACCACCACCACCAC